CACACCAGATGGAAAACTCTACAGACTGTCGGTTCACACCCCATCACAAGCCAGCAAAACATCCACGAAACAAAGAAAGGTCTGTCACAGCCAAAAAATACACTCCAGACACRCCGCTGGCACTAGAGGCACAGCATGGTATATATTTTATCAAATATATATTATACATATATCGTATTTATCGTCAAACAGAGAATATATATATTCCTGTTTCAAATTCCTCTTTTGTTGAGATAGTTATTAGTAATTACTGATCTCGTACTACATAGATGCCATGGTGGGGACCACAGAGGAAAAGTAAGCACACCTTCAAGGCATCCGCTACCATGTCAAGGTACCGCGACTCCAGAATGCAGAAGCATGCCCCAGACAGGCAATCTGCAGCAAACTGCAAACAAGAAACATAATAAGAAGAAAATAAGTGCATGCACGCAAACACAAAGAAAAAGGTGTGAGTGTGTGTGTTGGGGGGGGGGGGAAGCCGGGGGGGCAGCCCATTTTCTACAATGCATAGAGTCTGGTGGGATGCACCAGGCTGCCATTTCGCTAAAAATCCAGGCAAAACACACCATGCACACGTGTTTTTTAAATCATATACGAGTACCCTTCGCCCCCTTACTGTGGACTCCACAAATGAAAATGATCGTGACATGTTAATAGATCCCGCGCACGTCTTTCTCCTTGGACAGCATAGTTAAATTCGACATTTTCAAAGGGCCCTATTGAGCTGATTTTGCACCTTTCCACGAACACGTCTACATTCAGGCATTCAATCCAATTCTCTTTGCAAGCGGGACCCCCCCCAGGGGGAATGGGACAGAATTGATGCCCTCTATTGATTAGAACACGATGGAAGCCGTTAGCCCAGTTGGTCGGGCCCCTGTGTTGTACAGACACAGGTTGCAGGTTCGAGTCCCGTTGTCTCCATTGAGTGCGTGCGTCGGCACTCACTAAACTCCAGCTATTGGAATCCACCATATTGTACTCCAGCACATTCACATATTGGAATCCCCGGCTAGGTACCCCAGGGGGCGGCAGTAGCAAGGCGGTGTAGACGTTGTACGGGGAGCTTCCAACATTGAGGGGAGGAAAGGGGGTTCGCTGAGGGACTGGGTACCCTTGGGAGTCCCCCGGCTTGGAATGCCCCGGCTCGACCCCCCCGGGATTAAGCTACGACCAGGTCCACTCCATGCACAACAACTCACATACCAGCAAGTCCGAGATAAAATGTCTGCAAGTAGGTTAAAAAGGGGGGGGGGGGGGGGGGTTCCAAATGTCTGTAAAATTGTGTAAATGTGTTAAAAGGGACTCTGGACCAGCTTTCCAGCAGGTGCTGCGTGCCACCAACAAATGGAGCCATCCAAACATGGGGCTGCTAACGGAGGATGCTCCTATCACCTCCATTAGGAGAAACCCGGCAAAGCCGATGTTTAAAAACAAAAAAAAAAACAAAAAAAAATGACATTTGGCACTCTTCTAAGACACTGATCCTCGTTCCACTACTTTTTTTTTTTTCTTTTCTTTTTCTTCTTCTTTACTTTTTCAAGCCCAGAACCGGCCTCCCTTAACAATGTT